GACCAATAATCACACATGGAGCAACTGAGTCATGAAATAATTCATCCCAAATAGAGACAGGAAGAAAACCATTGAACTGAAACACAGAAAGATGAAAGGTGAAACAAACATTGTGTAACTGACATATTCCATGAAACCAAACTAAAGATTGAAGAGATTCAACCACTCACCTAATGCAACTAATTCTCAGACCTTTCTCCATATGTTTAATAATAATAATAATAATAATAATAATAATAATAATAATAATCTTTATTTATACCCTGCCACCATCTCCCCAGAGGGGACTCAGGGCAGCTTATGTGAGGCCAAGCATGATAATATATTACAGCAAAAAAATAACATCAAGATAAAATAAGAAAAACATAAGACTAAAACTCTCTGTTTAGACTAGTTACAGTTCTCCCAAAAACAACTTTCCCATAGTAACTGCTGATGGGCAACTTCACAGTCAATCCCACATTCGCTTCTTATTGTTGTCATTTTTTAATCTTTAAATGAGACCTAGTTTGGGCATTCATCCAACCCAAAAACTGGCAATTACAAGGCTTCCCTCCAATACCTGTATACATCATGAAGCTGGTGATGCCAATTGAGGCTGAAGCCCAGCAGAAGGTATACTTTGCATTTCGAAGACCTGGAAGTTGACAGGTGAGATTTCCCTCCAGGCAATTCTATGATGGCTGCTAACAGCAATGTCCTTTTAAGATTGCGCTAGCAGATTTGCTTATTATGTATGACATATAAATGCACCATCTGAAAAACAAAAGAAGTATATACCATCTTTGTTGTTTTCATGCATATGCAACATTTTGTGGAATTAATCAATGAAGCAAAGGAAATGTACCAGCTAGAAGATAAATTTTTAACTTGGGGTCAGTCTTATTTATTATATACTAACTCAAAATGCTTCCAGTTTTAGTTTAAAGAAAATAGCAGTGTATCTCAGCTGTCAGGAGATTGGAAGGGAGTTCTAATTTATAATTTGAAAATAAAAATCTAAATGTATTGTCAAAGGCTTTCATGCTTTTGTTGTTGTGAGTTTTCTGGGCTGTACAGCCATATTCCAGAAGCATTCTCTCCTGACATTTCACCTGCATCTATGGCAGACATCCTCAGAAGTTGTGAGGTCTCTTGGAAACTAGGAAAATTGGGTTTATATATCTGTGGAAGGTCCAGGGTGTGTGAAAGAACTTTTGTTTGTTTGAGATAGGAGTGAATGTTTCAATTGGCCACCTTGATTAGCATTTAATGGCCGTGCAGTTTCAAGGTGTGGCTTCTTACTGCCTGGGGGAATTCTTTGTTGGGAGGCTATTAGCTGGCCACGATTGTTTCTTGTCTGGAATTCCCCTGTTTTTGAGTGTTGTTCTTTATTTATTGTTATGATTTTAGAGGGTTCTTTTTTTCAACAGAAAGGAAGAAACCATCAAAATGAACAAAATCTGGCTACCAGTATTAAAAAAACCTGTAAAACTCTAAAGTCAAGGCCCACTGTTATTTTGTTACTGAGCCAATAAATCGTGGTTTATCTTGGTCCAAACTGGCCTTTAGATAGATGCATTTGGGTTTTTTAAATTCTGGTACAGCCCAGAAAACTCACAAGCCAAAAATCTGAATGTTTAGGAGAAAGATCATGGAAATTTCCTCAATCCCCTTTCTTCTACAACTATAACAATCTACCTTTATTTCTATTTGTCATGATAACATAATATTCTCCTATTAGGAGAAGGAGACCATATGGTCCTACAGATGTGGTCGAACTAAAACTTCACCATCTTTCACCGTTAGCCACACAGGCTAGGTGTGGAAACAGTTGCAGTCCAACAGTATCTATAAGGTCACATTTCCTGCACCTCAGTCTAAATCATTATAGCTTTTCTTCCTGCAGCTGCTGCTTCTTCTCTTTCTTCTGTGGATCAAAGAAGTGAAAGAGAAAATATTCTCACTGACTCAACTGGGATTTGAACCCTTGTCCCCCAAATGTATTTTGCCAATGTGATATCCAATGGACCAGGCAGGCCCAGAAAAGACAGAGCCAGAAAGATTAGAAATCCCATGGGCTTCCTGAAGGCATTCAGCCAATATGAACTGGGATGATGAGATCTGATGTCTGCATTCTTGAGTGTCTGGTCTTATTTGTACCCAGAAGCATTCAGTTTCCTAGACTCATGATTATGGCAGCATGAGAAAGGCAAGTCTAAGGGACAGCAATGAGGAACAGGGGAAGGATATCAGAAAAGAGGCACCAAGGTATGATTCACATGCAAGATGTTTTCGAAAGACAGCATGTCAGACATTCTGTCTTGCCAGCTTTGGCAGGAAAGGAGGGAAACCCTTAATCAGAAGGACAAATGATCTGATCCGAGCCGATGGTCCCCAAATTACTTGTCCACTACAATTGCGTATCCAGAATATATGATTCTACTTGACCAGATGCAAGTAGTAGTCATGGCCTCCAACATAATCACAGACAACGAATCCCCAATGGTCAGTAAAATCTAATCCAACAAGCTCACGGTGAGAAAAATTAATTATGCAAATCCAATTTGTCTAATGCTGTTTGATCTAACAAATAGATCATTTCATTAATCTTAGTCAAAGGCTATAACATTCAACAGATCAGTCAGGGTTTTTTTGACTGATTAAATGTCTTACCAAAAACTTGCTCATCATCAACAGAAGTGGCTGATTAAGAATGTCACCTGATTAAAAACCTTTAGTTGATTAATTATCCTGTTTAAAAAGATGAATCGATTATATTTGCATATAGTAACATGGTTTCAAAACAATTAAGAAGATGAAATATTTCATCAGTGCAGTAAAATAAACAATCTAAAGTGAAACCTGTCTCTGCAAATTTTATGTAAGCTGATCTAATCGCCCCCCCTTCTTTCTGCCACCAAAAACTCTCTTACCAAGATTTTAAGTATAGTAATTCATGAAACTTTCCAAAGTCAGAACAGAGTCAAGTAAGTACGTCTTGTTTTAATTTAAATGATGTCAATTTATCTGTGTAAAGGCCAGTTTGTAGCAAGATAAACCATGGTTTATTGGCACAGTAACAAATTGCAGTGGACCTTGACTTTACACACTCCAACTTTCCTTCTGCATAACAGTTTAGAATTACATGTAAAAGCTAAACTGTGAATCATCTTAACAGTTTTGTCTGAAACGTTTCCACCCCTATAACAAGCCATCTGATGTCTAAACTGTGATTAATATTAGCCCAAGCTTAAGGGACAGGGTCCAGTACTCCTGGAAAGTCTGGGCACAGATCAATAACCCACTAACATGGAAGCCAATATCTCAGCAAACTAATTGCTTCAGAACACTGTTGATGCATCAGGCCACTGATTAGTTTTAATTTCTTTTCAAGATTAATTTTTTAAAAATCTTTTAGCCAGCATAGGCAAAATCTGGAAATTAAAGTTCAAGAATGTATTGTCAAAGGCTTTCATGGTTGGAATCACTGTGATGTTGTGTGGATTCTGGGCTGTATTACTTTTACTTACGAAAGCGATCCCTTGTAGTCTGAGGATGATGGCCCTCCAAGTTTAGTGTCTTAGTGGTGAATATGTAGGTGGCTGTGGAGACCTATTGTTGATCTGCAGGGTCAGCTTAATGTGCTTTTCTCTTAGCACATTGCTCCCTTTCAGCCTCCATTCATGCCTCTTCAAATTCCACAGCACTGCTGGTCACAGCTGATCTCCAGTAGGAGCGCTCACGGGCCAGGACTTCCCAGTTCTCGGTGTCAATGCCACAGTTTTAAGCTTCAATCCCATTTTTAAATCTCTTTTCCTGTCCACCAACATTCCATTTCCTGTTCTTGAGTTGGGAGTATAGTAACTGCTTTGGGAGATGGTGACTGGGAATTTGGACAATATGGCCAGTCCAGCAGAGTTGATGGCAGCATCACTTCAATACTGGTGGTCTTTGCTTGTTCCAGCACACTGACATATGTCCGACTGTCTTTCCAAGAGATTTGCAGGATTTTTTTGGAGGCAACACTGATGGAATCATTCCAGGAGATGAGTGTGACGTCTGTAGACAGTCCCCGTTTCGCATGCGTATAGCAGGGTTGGGAGGACAACAGCTTTATAAACAAGCACCTTGGTATCCCTACGGATGTCCTGATCCTCAAACGCTCTCTGCTTCATTCAGGCTGTATGGCCATGCTCTAACAGCATTTTCTCCTTACGTTTCACCTGCATCTGTGGCTCGCATCTTCAGAAGATCTGGTGGTAATCAAGCAAGTGGGGTATATATACCCATGGAATGTCCAAAATGGGAGGCAAGAACCATCATATGTTAAACAAGTGTAAGGAGTGCAATTAGCAAGCTAGATTTTTATGTCTTGGGTGGGATCCACCCATTAGCATGAGAGTAGGACATCTGCATGGAAGTCATCTGGCCTTTGTTCCCCTTGAATTGTTTGCTGCCTAGAAACATCCTTTGCCTGGGTGGTACTGGGCCTTAATTGCTTTCTGCCTGGAGTCCTCCTGTGTCAATTGTGTTCTTTATTTACTATTATAATTTTAGAGTTTTTTTTTTAAAATACTGGTTGCCAAATTTTGTTCATTATTATGGCTTCTTCCTTTCTGTTGAAATTTGGTGGATTTGGTGCTTGTGGATTTCAAAGGCTTCATTGTATTGTTTGATATAGTGGTTGTCAAAGTAGTCCAGAATTTCTGTGTTCTAAAATTATATTCTATGCCCAGCTTTGTTTATCATGTGTTCTGCTATTGCTGATTTTTCTGGTTGAATCTGTCTGCAGTGTTTAAGAACATTCCCAGTCTTGGATTGCTTCTCACAGCAGGACTCTACATCAAAGACTGTGGAAGTCACAGGAAACGGAATATATTGTACTGCATCACATTCACATGGGTTTTGCTGCAAAACAATGTGGGGATGTTTGGGGAGGCTCAGGATGAGGAGGGGTTGCTCATGCAAATCTGCCCTTGCTACCCTTCAGGGCCTCTGGGAGGAAATGAGACCTCAAGAGTGTTGAATATGCTGAGGCCTTAAGGTTCAGCGGTTCAGAGATTTCTCCTTTGGGCAAAATTTGTATCGTTAGCTCTTTAGTCCATCTTCCTAAACTGTTCTTCTTTAAAAGAAAACAAGACTCTCAGCCATGAGGAAGAAGAGAAGCAGCCACTCCAGTCCCAACACCACCTGCCATCACCATAGCCTATGCTACGACCGTCTGATTGAAAAATGTATCAGCTGCAAAGTGATGCAGAGAGGAGGCACCGAGAAGGAGACAAGTGAGTGAGAAAAACAATTTTCATGGCTGATGGGAAAAAGGAGAGGGAACTGGGATCTTCAAGGGATAGGAAAAGCTAGAACTAGATCCTGTAGTAGTAGGAAGAGATGTCAACAATTGGCTGAGACCCATGAAAGGAACCAGGAAAGGAGTAAGAGGAAGGAACACCGCTTTTACCAAAGGAAGTATGCCAGTGGGCAATGATGCTACTCTTATGGGATTGACTTCACTGCTTTAGCAATCTCTTCCCTTTCAGTCTCAGTTTCCTATTTGTAAAGCAAGCATTCAGTTAAAAGGGGCAAATAAGAAAAAATCAATTGCATGGTTCTCAAGGTAAGGAAATAGAGCAAACGAGGACTTATCTCCCATCCATGGGTATTCCCCAGTAAAATATGCAGAAAACTATTCTGCTGTGAATTTTTAGTGAATTTTTCTCATGGATGGACTATGGACAATATCTATGCAAAGCTTGGGAGTCTTACATTTACTGTGTAAATAAAGGACATTATCTGGTTCTGCTATGATTAGGATCCACTGTTTCCACTCTAGAGTAAGATGAATACATTATACCTCAAAGTGCTCAGTTATGCAAGGCACTTACAACTATTTCCCAGTAAACCTAGTGCATAACAGACATGCTCAAACTTTGGCCCCTCAGCTGTTTTGGACTTCAACTCCCACAATTCCTAATAGTCTACAAACTAAGTTCTTGTGGGTTTTTTCGGGCTATATGGCCATGTTCTAGAGGCATTTCTCCTGACGTTTCGCCTGCATCTATGGCAAGCATCCTCAGAGGTGAGGTCTGTTGGAACTGGGAAAAAGGGGTTTATATAAAAGGGATATATAAACCCCTTTTTCCCAGTTCCAACAGACCTCACCTCTGAGGATGCTTGCCATAGATGCAGGCGAAACGTCAGGAGAAATACCTCTAGAACATGGCCATATAGCCCGAAAAAACCCACAATAACTTAGTGATTCCAGCCATGAAAGCCTTCGACAATACAGTCTACAAACTGTTCAGAATTGTGGGAGTTGAAGTCCAAAACACTCGGAGGGCCAAAGTTTGCCCATGACTGGTATAACAGAATTAGAAGGGCTTTCTCCCAGTCCCACAATCATCACATGGCCAACTGGTGAGGACATGGGAGAGAGAATTCTCTAGGTTGTCCCCTTCTCTGCTATCCTTTTTGCAGGCAGGAAAAAAACCCATTTTATTTATTATTATTTATTATTATTTAGAGCTTTTATAACCCGGTCTTCTCGACCTCCGAAGAGGGACTCAGGCCGGCTAACAACAGGAAATTCATATACAGATAAGCTAAAACATAACATCATAGTACATTAATACATTACAATACATTAAAATACAGATCAAATAGCCAAGTCGTCAAGGTAATCACAAATTCATCATCATCCGCCCATGTGGTCAGCAGTTATTGACTCGATCATAATTCTGAGAATGCTATGTTCCAAAGCCAAGATTTTACAAGCTTTCTGAAAGTCAGGAGGGAAGGGGCAGATCTGATCTCCATCGGGAGGATTTGACAATTAATTTCTTGTGCAGAAGGGACTTTTTCTTGGAAAGAGGTACTTTTTATCTTTATCATTGAAATTGAATCCAGACAAGACAGAGGTCCTACTGGTCAGTCGTAAGGCCGAACAGGGTATAGGGTTACAGCCTGTGTTAGACGGGGTTACACTCCCCCTGAAGACGCAGGTTCGCAGCTTGGGAGTGATCCTGGACTCATCGCTGAGCCTGGAACCCCAGGTCTCGGCGGTGGCTGGGAGAGCTTTTGCACAATTAAAACTTGTGCGCCAGCTGCGCCCGTACCTTGGGAAGTCAGATCTGGCCACGGTGGTCCACGCTCTTGTTACATCCCGGTTGGATTACTGCAACGCACTCTACGTGGGGTTGCCTTTGAAGACTGCTCGGAAACTTCAACTAGTCCAGCGAGAAGCAGCCAGATTGCTCACCGGAGCGACGTACAGGGAGCACACCACCCCCCTGTTACATCAGCTCCACTGGCTGCCGATCCAATTCCGAGCACAATTCAAAGTGCTGGTTTTAACCTACAAAACCCTATACGGTTCCGGCCCAGTGTATTTGTCCGAACGGATCTCCCTCTACATCCCACCTCAAAATTTAAGATCGTCTGGGGAGGCCCTGCTCTCGACTCCGCCACTATCACAAGTGAGGTTGGCGGGGACGAGGAGCAGGGCCTTCTCGGTGGTGGCACCTCGCCTATGGAACTCACTCCCCGGGGAGATTAGATCAGCGACCTCCCTTTTGGCGTTCAGGAAAAAACTGAAGACCTGGATATGGGACCAAGCTTTTGGACATTCTGGCAGCTAAGGGAAGATCTGACGACAAACATGGGCGAACGGAATGAAATGGATATACACGGAACTCTGAATACTGAGCATGAGATTGTTTTGCTGTTTATTATGTACTAATGTTTTTTAACTTGTTAACTGTTTAAATCGTTTTTAGCTATTGTTGTTATTGTTTCAGGCGTCGAATTGTGCCGTTGTCTGTAAGCCGCCCTGAGTTCCCCCTCGGGGGTGAGAAGGGCGGGGTATAAGTAATTGAAATAAATAAATAAATAAAATATGATCTTAAATGATGCTTTTCAAATTAATGGCGTTTTGATATGGTAGTTTGTTTAGTTATGTTTGAAAATTTTATCAACTTTTTAGCTTTGTCTTTTCTTGCAGTAAGTTACATTGGGTCCCATGTTGAAGGAAAGATGTTTGGTTCCAGGACTTTCCCCTCCATCATGGATAGCAAAATCCATGGATGCTCAAATTCCATATGTACAATGGTATAGTAAAATGGTGACCAATATATAAAATGGCAACATTGATGTTTGATTTTCAGAGTTGTGATTTTTAAAAATATTTCCAAGACTTGGATGCAGAATCCATGGATAATTTTCTACCCAGGGATCCTCCATTGGCCACATAGGCTGCCAAAAAAGAAAAAGGAAAGAGAAGTGGATATGAAGGATTGGAAAGCTACACTCGATTTTAAAGGTCTCTGTCTGCTCCTGGAGAGTTCCAGGAGGGACAATTTACCTCTTTCCTGCCTGAAAGGAAGGTTCAGGAGCAGACACAGCTTACAGAAACAGTTTTAGGGAGCTCCCTGCAAGCCTATGGACACAATTTGCCCACCTCCGAGGCCCCTTCTACACTGCCATATAAAATCCAGATTATCTGTAGACTCCTATAATCCAGTTCAAAGCAGATAATGTGGATATATGGCAGTGTCAAAGGCGACTGAGATACATAGTAGTGGGCTAGTTGGACTAATTATATGATTTCCCTATAAACCAGCTTTTTATTGAAGCAGAGGATGACATGAAGCAGTATTGCAGGCCAAAATTCTCAGATGAATTTGGTGGATAGGGGGTAGCTCAACTAATGCTCTCACAGCAGTTCATTCTTGTTACTACTGACATATCACAGCATGAGAGCTCAAGAAACGGAGCTCAAGCATTAACTTCCATGGCTCAACAAAGTGGAATCATGAAAAGTGTAGTTTGGACAAAAAAAGGGCAAAAAGTCTTGTAAAACTGCAATTTTCATTATTTACTGTATTTTTACCCCGCTCTATCTCAACCCCGGAGGGGACTCAGAGCGGTTTCCAGATTGGCAATATTCAATGCCACATTAAACACAAAACATACAAATACGAATTACAATGCAAATTAAAATAATAAAAAGTCATATAAACAATGGCATATAAATACATTACATATATTGTTAAACATTGCACATAGTAATCTTTAACAGTATTCCATAGCATCAAGCCATGGCAGTTAAAGTAGTGTCAAACTGCATTAATGTTCAAGTCCCTCCGTACCTATCTAAGGATTATACCATCCATGCTTGAAAATATTGCAAAAATCAATTATTCCAAAAACCAACATTGATTTTGCCATTTTAAATAAACAACATAATTTTACTCCACCATTGTATATAAAGGGACGAGTGGTTTTTGGTATCCACAGGGGTACTGGAATCAAACCCCAGCAGATAGTCAAGGAATTGTACTGATTAGGGCTGCCTGGAACCATAGTTTTTTTCTTGGATCTCAATCATTTCAGCTTTACTCAAACAGTGCTTCTCAAACTCTGATCCTACAGGTCTTTTGGGCTTCAGCTCCCACAAATTCCCGCCATCTTACCAGCTGTTATGAATTGTGGAAGTTGAAGTCCAAAACATCTAGAGGACCTCAGTTTGAGAAACTGTTTTAGGAGCAATGTGAGGAACAACCTAGACAGACAGATCTGTCAGGTCCTAATACTTTATTGTTCTAAGCCAGTGGTTCCCAACCTTTTTTTGATCAGGGACCATTTTGACCAGTGACCACTTTGACCAGGGACCACTCTCCAACATTAGTACCAAAAGGGTTACAAATCAGTTTTTGGTCAACTTTAGATTCGGTTTGGTTATTTGGGGTGCTGATTCAGAAAATTGCATTGCATAGACTACATCAGCTCTAGTTTCTGATACAGAACATATCCCTTGGCCAGCCACAGTGAAGGAGTGGCAGGTGGCTTAAAAGGAGCGGAAATAATAAAATAAAATAAATGGATAAAGAAGTAGGAGGCTCGTGGACCAGAATTCTGTCCTCACAGTCCACAGTTCTAAACACAAGATTCAGACATGACTATTTAATAAGGAGCAATAGTGCTTGTTTATGTAACCTTTTGTATTTACCTTGTTTAGAGCAGTTCTCTTGATGACTGTTAGTTTCTAGAGGGTATTATTATTATTATTATTATTATTATTATTATTATTATTATTATTCTCAGGTCTATGGCATGAGGATCATATGCTTATGTGCCATCAAGTTGCCTGTCAGCTTATAGCAATCTCATGAATTTCACAAGAATTAGGAGTAGATTTGCCAGTTGTTTTCTCTGAAATTTAGCAAATGGTTTCTCACATCCAAGTGCTAATCAGGGCTGACCCTGCTTAGCTTTCAAGATCAGATAG